TTGTTCAGGACGGTTGCATTCGTATTATCATACAGCAGGCAGACAATGTGAATGTACTTTTGCGGACACCCAACTTTTGCCAATATCCTCTGTACCATGGTTGGGTCTTAAGCCACACTGCGTCTTGTGCAAGTTCTCTTCGGCAATTGGGATTAGAAGATTTGATAATATCCTGGCAAGTATCTTTCCCGCAGCAACAGAAGGTAAAGATATTCCTCTATAGTTTCCACATAGAGCCTTGTCTGCCTTTTTGAAAATGGCGACTATAGATATGCATCTTTAAGTCTGGCAGGGGTCTTAGGAATCCATATTTTACTTATTAGGATTTGGGCACTTGTGGGGCCTTCTTACTTAAAAAAATCAGCAGGAATGCCGTCAGTACCAGCTGATTTATTGTTCTCCAGTTGTCTGATGCCTTCTTAGCCTCCTCTAATCTGGAAACCTTGCTCAGTTCTTGTTGTATTGAAGATGTTATTATGTGTTAAATTCTGATTCTTTGTTAAATAGATCCTGAAAGTGTTCCTTCCAACAAAAATCAATGGAAGAACTGTCTTTAAGCAGTCTTATGCCATCTTTGGATTGCAAGGCTTGGTCTGTATACCATTTTAGTAGCCTGAAAGAAGGCCCTGGTGCTATTGGAATTAGATAATTGCTGCATATCATCGTTTAATTTTGTTATCCACCATTGGTTCTTTAATGCTCGCGTTTGTATTTGAACTTTTGCTTTTGCTTGTTGGTATTGCTTTTTTTTACAGTCGAGCTGGGGTCGCTCCTCTATTCATTACGTGCCTTTCTTTTTATTTCTATAGGGTCTTGAATATCAGTCAGTTTCGTTCTCATCAAACCAGTCTTTTGTATGTAGCCGACCGTTTCTTCCAAGGCAGATGTTATTGCATTCTCCAATATTTTCCAGTGCTTCTGAATGCTTGGGAGTTTGTCCTGATTTGATCGTCTTAAATGCGTTCTATGTTAAGTTTGCGCTTGAACTGCGTTTTTTGACTTTGGTGGGATGCACAAGCTCATTCGCTGGCTCGTATCAACCGATTGCCAGTCCCAGCAGTTCACATTTACTGCTACTACTAAGATTTACATCACACCAGTTGGAGAATTTATTAATTCGATTTAAAAAAATGTGGCAATCTTTCATATTATGATGAATAACTTTAAAAAAATTTAAGTCCCCCTTACGGGTGTGATTTTTCATAACATTGTATGCGTGACGGGCTAGGCCAAAGTATTACATGAATCTTCCTATTGTCTGTCTGTGTGTTGATTTCAAAACAGTCGCGTTATATGACAGGTTTTGAGGATCACTGCATTTTGTATGCTCTTGTGAATTCTCAAGTCTAGCTGTAGTTTCTTAAGGTTTTGTATGAAGGAGAGTGGTGGTGGTACTTTATTTTGTTTCCAGAGGGTTGTTATCTATCTACTGCCAGACTTTGATATTATTCTCCCTTTTCACTCTGCTTTTCTTTGATGCTATGATCAGATTATATTTACTCAGAGTTTTCGCTTTCTAGAACTTTAGGGGTAATAGTATGAAGTATGAATCCGTATTATCGGTGAGGTCTAATTTTTGTCCTAGAGCTTGGTGCAGAATTTTTGCAGCAGCGTCATGTCTATCTGAGTACAAAGTACCAGCAATGACAGTACAGCAGCCATTTGTTATGTGTTGTATTGTCTCAGGTACCAGTTTACACTTTCGGCATTTATCGTTGGGTCCTTTATTAAATATTTCTTATAGTTGAGTGTGCAATTGCGAGTGTGAATCCTTCTGCTGTTTCCAGAAACAACTTTCCTTCCAGAAGCCAGGTATATGAATTTACTTTGCTGATGTGTTTTTGATTCATTCATTGATAATAGATTTTTGGTTTCACCCTTTCGAGCCCATACTCTACACTGCAGCCTTTATAGGCTTTTTGTATGTCATTCGTATGGGCTCTACTCCTTCTCATTCATACATCTCATTCCAGGGTTGCTAACTTAGTAGATTTTCTACTAAATCTGGTAGATTCAGGTCTTCATTTTGGTGGGTAAATTTATGTTCTAGTGGGCAGTAGAAAATCTAGTAGAATAGTAGAAACCGAGTTATAATCAAACGACCTCCTAATACTGTCGCTAACTTTAAATAAACTATAAGCGATAATTCGCCATCATTTAGTTGAGATAACAATATACTAGATATACGTCACAGTCACTCTGTTCTCTCATTTTGCGGGAGAATCTTGGGAATCCCCAATAGCATTCTTGTGTATTGTAAATTGTAAATTTATTGCTTTTAGTTTTTTTTTTTTTGCTCATATTCTTATATTTGGGACCCATTTTCATATATCTTGTTTTCCAACAATACTTGCTGTCATATCATATATAATATAATGATATAACAACAAGAAACATATCATAAATAATATATGATATACCTACAACAAAAAATTACAAAACTAGAATCACTTGCTATGACTCTCATGACCGACTGACATAACAGATCATCAGTCAATCTTGTCATGTCATGAGACCATGAGAGTCATTAAAAACAAAGGGATTTATTTCAAAGTAATAAACAAATCAGCTTCCATATTCCTTTTCATTAAGGGCGCTTTCTGAATAGTAAGTCACCTCGGGTTAAGCATAACTCCAGGGTAAACAGTGCAACTGGATATGTTTACCCTGGAGTTAAAACCAACCCGGAGGTGACTCTCTATTGAGAAACCTACCCTAAGGGGAGTTAGTAATTCCTAGTAGATGATTTTTTGGTGAAAATAAAAAAGTAATTATCTAATTCTCGTTTAGTAAATTTCTAGTAGATTCGATAGTCTCATTTAGTAGATCTACTTTCGGCAGTGTTGGCAACCCTGGTGCCTTCCATGTAGTTCTGCATTCAGTTAAACTAGTCTATTTGAGTTGCTTAAATTAAGTGTCGTCTGCAAATGACTCGACGTATGTTTCAATAAGGGGAGTTAAATTCGAGATGTAGATTATAAAGAACAGTGAGGCCAACACCGAGCCTTGGGGAACTCCGCTGATAACTACTGGATGACGATCAGACTATGTTTTGTTTCCTCTAACTATGCTTTAAAAAGGAGCTGCTCAACCGTGAATAGTTTCCTCTTATTCCGAAATGATTCAGCTTGTAACAGAGTCGTTTGTGTGAAACTGTATCAAAGGTTTTTTGGAAATCAAAGTTAATTACATCCACCGGTTTTCTTTGGTCAACCTCTTTGCCGTGTTGTGATGCTAGAATTATGTTGTTTTCTAGGCCGAATGTAGTTTCTTTGGCTAGAATTTTTTCCATTACTTTGCATAAGGTGCATGTAAGGCTGATTGGCCGGTAGATGGCGGAGTCGTATTTATCTCCACCCTTGTAAATTGGGATGATAATTGCTTGCTTCCAGAGGTACCCCCTCGTTGATTGAGGTTTGGAAGAGCTTGGCTAGCAGCGGCGATAGCACGTTGCCACATTTTTTCAAGAATACTGCCGATATTCCGTCAGGTCCTGGGCTGGAGTAGGTTTTAGGGTCCTGAAAAGCTGCATTAGTGAAATTGATTAGAGCTAATTCATTTGGGTTTTTGGTTTCAATTTCTCTGGTGAAGACAGAGTGGAATTGTTCAGCAAATACATTACAATGTCACGGCTCTGGGTTGGGTGACAGAAATCTTGGGTTCGTTTATTCCAAAATCAAAGTCCAATTAACACAACAATAATTTATTCCACGATACTACACACTCTGATACCTACTAATTACTTCACTAATTAACTCAAACAACTTGACTCTCACAATAATCACTATCTAAACCGTATCACAGCCAATCTTAAACTTAAATACTACTAACTAATAGCGGCCTTTATATAATCCGCAATCCATTCTTGTGAAATCAATCCAGAATAAACGCGACAGCCCTTTTTCCCGAATAGCACTGTAAAATTTAGAATCAGGTCCCGATCAACTTCGCGCCCATGATATTTCGTTAATCTGTCCAAATGTGCAATTTTCATTTTACTGTGTTAGTGCTGAACTCGATAAACCAAATCATTAATCCTCTTGATTATTCTGTAGGGTCCTTCCCATGCTGAAGACAATTTCGACGATACTCCTTTTTTTCTTGCTGGATTGTATGTACAGCCACACTGAATCACCTTCTTGAAATCTGGCTTAATTGACGACTTTTAAGTTGTATTTGGTCTTCATTCGGTCACTGGATAGCTGAAAAGGCAGAAGAAGACAGCAAGTGCCATAGCAATAGGGATAACGATCTCTATCCGTTACAGAGTCCCAGCCCTAAGTTCCCTTATAAAAACGATTCTAGCTGGACTTTCACCTGTTGACTCCTGAACTCTGTAAGCTATTTAAAATAGAGGCAAATGTTTGTCCGAATCTCGCTGGGTCTCTGCCACCACTTTTGTCAGGTGTTCCTCTATGGTCTTATTGAATCGTTCTACCATGCCATCAGACTGTGGATGTAAAGGTGTGGTCCTTTTCTTACGAATGAATGCCCATGATCTCACAAATTTTCTTAAAGAAGGCAGATTCGAAGTTTAGTCCCTGATCTGAATGCAACTCTAGTGGCACACCATTACGACTGAAAACTTCGTCCACTAGCACCTGGGCAATAGTGATGGCTTCTTGATTGGGAATAACGAGAACTTCTGGCCATTTACTAAAATAACCTATGAAATAAATTTACTAAAATAATGATAACCTAGATATCGCATTTTCGGCATCAGTTTTTAACGTCTTCATGATAACGAACCCAGTTAAAACGTTCCCGAATTTTGTTGAAAGTATTGTTAACTCCAAAATGTGCCCCTGAAGTTCCATTATGTACATATTTCTTTTAATACATCTTCTACTCGATCTTTTGGTAGAGATATTGAACTTTCAATTTTAATGGCTCGCCTTTTACTAGTGAAATTACTCTGTAACCAACCGTGTACACCCGTATTTTCAGGTTTAGCCAAACATTCTTCCAATTCTTCTGTTTTGTCACTATTGCTTTTCTAGAAAATATCCAAACAAATATGAAAGTATCATCAGTACATTGTGCGAAAATCTGGATACGCTAGATGAACCAGAAGCTCGTGCCTCAATGGTATGGATTATCGGTGAATACGCCGAACGAATCGATAACGCTGACGAACTCTTGGACAGTTTCCTGGAAGGATTTGCCGATGAAAACGCTCAAGTACAGCTTCAGTTACTAACAGCCGTTGTAAAACTGTTCCTAAAACGACCACAGCACACTCAAGGTCTAGTGCAACACGTTCTAAGTTTGGCCACTCAAGATTCTGATAATCCCGATTTGAGAGATAGAGGATTTATCTATTGGAGATTATTGAGTACCGATCCGGCCGCAGCTAAGGAAGTAGTTCTTGCTGATAAACCACTGATTTCTGAAGAAACTGACTTATTAGAGCCTACACTGTTGGATGAATTAATATGTCACATTTCATCTTTGGCTAGTGTCTATCATAAGCCTCCTACAGCTTTTGTGGAAGGGCGCAGTGCTGGTATAAGAAAAACGTTACCAGCGCGTCAAGGATCTGAAGAAGCTCCTACTCAGGAAGCAACAGTTATTCCAAATCAGGAGAGTCTCATTGGAGATTTATTGTCAATGGATCTTGGGGGGCCAACTATACCCACTTTAGCTGCTGCACCTGTTGTTGCTCCAACTAGTAATGTGGATCTGTTAGGTGGAGGATTAGATGTTTTGGTAAGAATTGTATTTCAAGTTTATATTTTACACCTTTTTGATTCTCAAAAAAGTTACTATAGCAGTATGAAAAATTTGTTTCAGTTGGGTGGTGGTCCAGAAGTAACCAGCAACGTAGGTGCTGCTCCCTCAACCACAGGCCTTCTAGGTGACATCTTCGGAATCACAACAACACCTACAATGTACACGCCACCGAAAGCCTTATGGTTGCCGGCCAACAAAGGCAAAGGCCTGGAAATTCAAGGCACATTTTCTCGTAGATCGGGACAAATTTACATGGAAATGACTTTGACCAATAAGGCGATGCAAGCAATGACCGGATTCGCAATTCAGTTCAACAAAAATAGCTTCGGTTTGGCACCTTCGGTTCCGATGAACGTGACTGCGCTGCAACCAGGACAAAGTTTGGAGTATAGTTTGCCTTTGAGTACTACTGGACCTGTGCAGAGGATGGAACCGTTATCCACTTTACAAGTGAGAATATGTAATTTTATAAAAATTGTTTTCCCTGAATCCATAAGTTTCTATAGGCCAATTATTAAATAAAAATTAATTTTTTTTTTTTTTTAGGTTGCCATTAAAAACAATTTCGACGTATTTTACTATGCTTGTCAAATTCCCCTTCAAGTAATCTTTTTGGAAGATGGCACCTTAGATAAACGAGTATTTTTGACTACTTGGAGAGACATTCCTTCTGCTAACGAGGTAAATACACAATCAACTAATATATTATGTTTTTTTAACAAAAACTACTTATTTTCAGATACAGTACACGTTAAATGACATCAACGGTGACACGACCGATTCCATTTCTAATAAAATGACTCGAAACAACATTTTCACAATAGCCAAGCGTAATGTGGAAGGTCAAGATATGCTCTATCAGTCGCTGAAGCTCACAAACAATATTTGGGTGCTTCTTGAATTGAAGTTGACTCCAGGGTTGAGTTATGCCACCCTGAGTCTAAAATCTAGGTCCTTGGAAGTGGCTCCTTTTGTATTTCAGGCTTATGAAATGATTTGCAAGAATTAATCAAGTTTTTTAGGCTCAAATTATTTTATCTTTCAAATATTTAGAATTTTATAGGATTCTTTTATTAATAATTAGTTATTTAATAGACACTTTATTGATTGTATATTATTGCGAATTTTGAGGGCTAGTATTCGTCTGTTAAATTTGAAAAAACCGAATTTCTGCTTTTACAAAATATAGATGAGTGTTGTAGCAAAAACTAATTAAGGCATTCCAATTACCATCTGTCAAGTCAAGAATTTCAAAACAATGTCACTGCTGTCAACGTCATCCATCATAATAACGCGCGAAATTCAAATTAAAATTAAATGGCGCTAACAGTTCGGCCAACCTGACAAACAGATCGCCCTCGATCATAAACAACTAAAAATACATGGAACAAACGTAAATGCCTTAAGGTATACACTCATAAATGCTTCAACTATTTTCAAATTAGACTACAGCAAAACTTTAACTAATAAATTAGTCATCATAAGAAAATATAATTGAGATAGATTTCAATTTAATCAGTCATAATGCATAAACTAAAACATAACATAATACATAATCGTTGAGATTCATAAATCATAAATCACATAAAAATCATAAGAAGTTGACATATTCATAACATAATCAAATTTGCAGTACAAAAACACTGAAATAGTGTAAATTCAAAATCACATAAATCATAATCAAAAATTTTCATAAATTCTCATACAATAGCTTCAAAAATAAAATCAAATTAGTTCTAATCATTAAATAGAAACAAAAATTCTTCGTGGTACTGAATATTAATGAGTACAGAAGAAAAATAATATTTTATGTTATCAAAACCTAATAGCTAATATTTTCATAAGAAAATAACTTCGAATCAAAATAGAAATTACAAATTTAAGGTCAAAGATGGGAAAACAATAGGACAAAATAAGGTAAGTAAAATAAGGTATAGTATAATGGTAAGTAGGTACTAAGGGAAATATTTATCATTCAGATTCAGCCTTCGACCATAATTTCATATGATCTGCATCTATTGTACCTTCATATGGAGTCTGTGTTACTTGAAAATCTGGAAGATCTATGACAATATATCTGTCATTTGACAAAACTTTCTTCACAACATAGGGACCTTTAAATTTGGGTATCAGCTTCTTGTTAACATTTGGGGTTGTGTCAAAATTCTTGATAACAACATAGTCTCCTTTTTGATATTTTTTGGCTTCTTTGTGCCTGTTGTCATAATATTCTTTGCTATTTTTCTGTGTCTTCTTGATTTCTTCTTCAGCTAGGGCTCTCATTGCTTCTAAATCTCTGTCATCTGTTTTAAAATTAAGTAAAACATCTCTAATTCTGTCACTTATTACTTGTCCGGCTTGCAGAACACCAAATAATAATTTACTGGGAATTTGCTTACTGCTTGAGTTTACACTATTGTTAAAAGCATATTCAGCTTCATGTAAAATTTTATCCCAAGTATTCGTTGGGGTCAGTTAAGTTAGCCCCCCCCCATAGAAAATTTCTGGATGAAAATTATCCCATAATTTTGCTCTCATTTTGCTCCATTTTGCTCCACTAATTTCGAATTTTGCTCCATTACAGTGGAGAGACTATGTGGTCTATTAGGTGGGGGGGGCTGAATTAACGCTAGCCCCCCCCGGTGAAAATTTTGAAATTTGATCATGCTCATTTTGTTCTCTGAGTTTTGCTCCATTTTGCTCCACTATCGGCGAGTTTTGCTCCATTACCTGGAGAGACTTACAGAGCTTCCAAGAATCTCTCCCAGCCCCCCCGGTGAAAATTTTGAAATTTGATCATGCTCATTTTGTTCTATGAGTTTTGCTCCACTTTGCTCCACTATCGGCGAGTTTTGCTCCATTACCAGGAGAGACCTACAGAGCTCCCAAAAATCTCTCCTAGCCCCCCCCGGTGAAATTTTTTATATTTGATTATGTTCATTGTGTTCTCCGACTTTTGCTCCGTTTTGCTCCATTATCGGCGAGTTTTGCTCCATTACCAGGAGAGACCTACAGAGCTCCCAAGAATCTCTCCCAGCCCCCTCAGTGAAAATTCTGAAATTTGATCATATTCATTTTGTTCTCCGAGTCTCTATTTTGCACCATGATCAGCTCGTTTTGCTCCATGACGACCCGCTTCCGGGTGCCACTTGAGCGCTTAGCGCTCTCGAGTTAGTCCGAAGTACTCCGGCTACAATTTTCCACATTCGGGCGAACAGAATTGGGCGCTCTCAAGCTGCTCTCACTTTCCTCGCCTGTCTCCCTTGATGCACCTGTAACTGATTTTCAAACGTTCGCGTGCAAAACGCATTGAGTATAATGGGCGTGAAATGCTCCAGGTGCTTCGCACACTGCACATGAAAGCGACTCTAGAATGAACTACACAGCTACGAGGAATATCTCCTAGCAACACGGGTGAAAATTTTGGAGTTTTTATATGCGCATTTTGTTTTCCGAGCTTTGCTCCATGATCGGCGAGTTTTGCTCCATTACTTGGACTGACCTCTAGGGTCCTTATTCTTGAAACAGGGGAGCAGCGTTTCCATGAGAAAGAGTGTTCCGCCTTTGTTGAAGTCCACAGCACAGATCATGACGGACGACCTCTGAAGGGGAAGAGGAAGCCAATGCGACAGAACTCATAGCGACAGATTTTATGAACCTAGCAAACCTACCAAAACGATCGAGATATACTTAATAGCCTGTTGACTAGAAAAGGACAACAAATAATGCGTAGGAGTTGTGTGTGTTCGCGGTCGCACTCCTTCGGTCCTTCAATATTTTTGCGGCGGACTATACTCATAATAGTTGTATTCCTTTCAAGAGTTTGGAACACTCGAGCTACTCGCTCCGGTGTTAGTCAACATGATTTTAAAGGGAAAGATGCGGGGTGCAACAAACACTTTTCGAAAGGAATAAGCGCGTGAAGCCCCGGAGCTGTTCCGGAGCTCCTCCTAGGTGTGAAAGGAATACAACTAATGTAATATGAGAACGGCCGTCAGATAAACTCGTTCTGCTCCAAAGTGAACAAGGAACAGTTTGGAACAGAAAGAAAGAGCAAGAAAATTGGATAAAGGAAGGCCAACAACCCTCAACTAACAGGATGATGGCTTTTCCCCATAAAGCCTCACTTGCGCAAAATTCTCCCTTTTTTGACATTGCTTCGACAATTTGACGTTTAATACACACATAAAACGTTAAATTGTCGAAGCAATGTCAAAAGAAGAGCGAATTTCGCGCAAGTGAGAGAGGCAAAAGGCGTACGTTCGCTTTTCGACTAGTCGTGACGTCACTGAAGTCTTGAGGTCTACATTGACGTCAAAATAACACAAATGGTGGGGAGTTTTCGCGTGGACCTGGCAGACAGCTAGATAAGCCATTCTATTAAGGTTTAGGGTTCTTGAAGGAAGGCCAAGTTTTTGAATTCACCAATTGCTTATGCGCATTTCTCTTGATGAGGAGTAACCTATCCTTGTTTTGCTGCTGTCAAATGACAAGGACAGCATTACATCGGTGAAAATGCGCATATGTCATTGTGGATTTCAAAAGCTTGCCAAGCCAGAAAATCAGTAAACTGAATTTTGATTTTGGAACGATTTGCAGCAAATACCATCGTCACCAAAAGTAACTGGGTACATTACTGACAGTTAAAAAAAGATCACCGCCATAAATAGCTATTTCGGAAAAATAAAAGGCTGTCCCTATAATTTATGACGTCTGTCAAATATGTTCACTTGAAAATAGGCGCCATCTTTGTCTCACCGATTTGCACTGTCATGTCAATATAAAATCATTCGGAACACATTTCACTGCTCCGAACATGGGCGCTCGAGCAAACGAGCTTGATTATCGGTATTTATTTATGACATAAATAACTATTTTTGCAAGCGATTCCCAGTTGTAAATTCAGTGCGTACTTAGACTATTTCAGTCTTTTTCTAGAGACACGTGAAAAAAAAAGGATCGAAATTAGTTTTAACTAACAGGGCTTCTTGCGGGCTCTGTTTGTCTATTTTTGTACCAAAGTTACACCAGTCTGCACCAGGTGCACCAAAAAGTCAGTTTGTCTCTGTCAGACCCATACAAAAAAAAATATATAGGAATAAACCTTGGATAAACAAACACGTTTGGTGTAGAAAGTGTCGGTTGGTGCCTTGTTGGTGCGAATAAACAAACAAAGCTAGTGAAACCAGGGACCACCGTTCTCTTCATAGCCATTATACTCGATGCACTTTGCACTCAAATGCTTGAAAATCAGTTAGGTACAGGTGCATCAGGAAAAAGAGGCGAGGAAAATGAGAGCAGCTTCAGAGCGCCTGATTGCTCAAAGCGTGGCACCCGAAAGCAGCTCAGGCTCAGGTAATGGAGCAGAACTCGCCGATCGTGGAGCAAAACGGAGCGAAACTCGGAGAACAGAATAAATATGATCAAACAAAATTTTAACTGGTGTAAGGGGGCTAGAAGAGATTCCAAATTTTCACACGTGTTGCAAGGAGAGATTCCTGGGAGCTGTCTAGTTCATTCCAGAGCCGCTTTCGGGTGCAGTGTGCGAAGCACGAGCATTTCACGCCCATTATACTCAATGCGCTTTGCATTCGAACGCTTGAAAATCAGTTACAGGTGCGTCAGAGGAAACAGGCGAGGAAAGTGAAAGCAGCTTGAGAGCGCCAAACTATGTTCGCTCGAATGTGTAAAATTGGAGGCGGAGTATTTCGGACTAACTCGAAATTTCAAGTTTCAAAATTTTTACTGGGGGGCAAGAAGAGATTCTTTGGAGCTCTCTAGGTTATTCCTGGTAATGGAGCAAAACTCGCCGATTATGGAGCAAAACTCGGAGAACAAAATGAGCATGATCAAATTTCAAAATTTTCACCGGGGGGGGGCTAGCGTTAATTCAGCCCCCCCCACCTAATAGACCACATAGTCTCTCCACTGTAATGGAGCAAAATTCGAAATTAGTGGAGCAAAATGAGAGCAAAATTATGGGATAATTTTCATCCAGAAATTTTCTATGGGGGGGGCTAACTTAACTGACCCTATTCGTTGACTCACATAGCTTGGCTAGCATAGGCGCTAAAGATCTATTAACAACTTCACACTGACCATTTGCTCTTGGTACACCGGTAGCAATTAATATAAGTTCAACATCATGATTATCCAGAAACCTTTTAAACTCAGCTGAAGAAAAACATGTTCCTCGGTCTGCTATAATTCTTTGTGGCCTACT